GAAACAGCTCTCCCCACTCCTCGCCGCCCTGCATGGCTCCAGACTGCGGGCGGCGGCTTGTTCCCGCCCGGCCAGGCTGTTGATGATTTGTGCAGTGTCGGTAAATGCTGTTATGACATTATTAATGCTCCGCACTCCGGCAAAGGACAATGGCCTATTGCCTCTTAATGTGCTGTCTGCTGCGGCAGTCGGAGCACATTAAATGGGGATTTCAAACACCATAAACAGCGCGTTTCTTTCTCTCCTCTTCCCACCCCAGGTCCCTGTGAGCTCCAGAAGCAACCTGGAAGCCCTGAGAAGGTGGGTGTGCAGTCAAAGCTGTGATGCCCTGCCCCACCCGGGAGACTCCAGGGGGGCCCAGCGAGGGGGTGGGGAGGCCCAGAAACACTAGGGGTGCTGACCTTCTTGGGAGCAGCACTGTGTCTTTGTGAGGGGGGCACTGGGCTCAGGGAAGCTGGACCTGCTGGGTGGGCAAGGCTGGCGGGCCCTCCGCTCAGCCCTCTGGTTACATCTGCACAGGAACCCAGACGGCAGACCGCTAATGGATTTTATCGGTCTTGCACAATGTTCTAAAAATATTGAGCCTACATTTTAAAATTATGTGATTTCACATGAGAAGCCCAGGTTTCTGACTAGCATGGAATAACTGGACCGGCAGTCACGCAAAGCAACGGCGGCACGCCCCCCTCAGGGACCTCCCATCTTTGGCAGTCTCTGATCACCCCAACCCCTTTCTGCCGGGTTCCTGCAGGAGGTTGAATAGTGTCCCCCCACCCCACCCCCTTTGTGTCCACCTGGAGCCTGAGAACATGACCTTAATTGGAAGTAAAGTCTTTGCAGATGTCATTAGTTAAGATGAGGCCATTCGGGACTAGTGTGAACCCTGGGGTCCTCATAAGAAGCGGTGAGGATGCAGGGACACACAGAGAAGGCCATGTGGGGACAGAGACCAGAGAGAAGCAGCTGCAGGCCGAGGATGCCAAGCGTTGCTGGGCCCCCTGGAAGCCAGCAGCGGGGCGTGCGAGGGAGTCTCCCTCAGACCCCTAGAATGAGCTGACTCTGCCAGCACCTTGATTCAGGACTTGTGGCTTCCAGGAGTGGGAGAGAAAAGATTTCTATGGTTTGAAGCCCCCCCAGGCTGGGGTAGCTTGTTACGGCGCCCTTAGGAGACTAGCTCGGCCCACCGTCTCGGTGTTTTGAGTACGACAACCCCCAATCAACCCACTTGCCCCAAACCCCTTCCCTGGAGTCCTGCTCCCCCTTTTGGACAGAGGTCCTTCACTGCCTGGCCAGGGCCTCCTGCTGCCTCTGGGCTTCTCCTGACCCCTCTAGTCAGACCACCAGGGCATGGAGGGAGGGCCAGGAAGTGCCACATTTGGGATGCCCAGGCCAATATGAAGTCTGCATCTGACACCCCATGCTGGACTAGCTTGTGCTTCTGGTTATAGCCTCAAAAGAAAGAACTATAGGAAGGGGAGGTTTTGGAATGTGACATAACCTAATGTCACGAGTCCTTGGATGCACTGCACCCCCCTCCCCACCCTCAGCAGGAGTGCCCCTGTCCTCCTCTGGCTTGTTTAGGGCCACTCTGCCTCTCATCTGAAGGCTGTAGGTTTTCATCCAGAATGTGACTGTTTCTCCAGCAGTCTTCCACCCTGGCCAGCTATGTGGGCATAACCTGTGTCATCAAAACTAAATGCACCCAGGGCCCATCTTAGGTACCAAAGCAAAATAAGGACTCTCTGTGTTGTTACATTCTGCAGGTGATTCTGCTGTGAGTCAGGGCTGAGGACCACTGGCTGATAGGCAGAGTATTGGTCTGAATTCCCCAGAAGTAAATTCGGAGACAAGGATTCAAGCGCCAGTAATTTATTTGGGAGGTGGCCCGAGGAACACGGATGGAGGAGTGGGGGACGGGGCAGGGGAGAAGGAAGCCAGCGTGGCGTGTGTGAGCGAGCAGGTTACCACTGAGGGCTACTGGAGCTCAGTCTGCCGGGGAGCTCTGGGAGCCGAGTGCACACTCCGGAGTACCCCACCCGGGGGAGAGGAGATGGGTGTCTGTCTATTCCTCGAGGGCTGCTTCGGGGGCATGAATTCCCTGGCACTTCTGTCTGGCCCCTGCACGTTCGGGCACAGGCCCACAGCCAGGAAAAAGGCCTCCGGCAGCGACGCATGTGTTCTCAACAGTCTGCCTCTTGGCACGGAGAGGTGGATGCCCAGGGAGCAGGGCGTGGCACTGGCAGCAGCTGCTACAGGTAGACCATGACAAGAACAACCATAACGGCCCGCTGGGAGGGCTCAGCAGTGCCGGCGATGGGCTGTTTACAGGCACCCGCAGGCTCAGTTCTCAGAAGCACCCTGTGCGGCAGGCTCCGAATAGCCCGATTTACAGCTGAGGAAACTGAGGAGAGCTTGTACCCGAGGTTGCATGATGGGATTCACAAGGTCTTCTCCCAATGTCTGTAGCACAGCGGAGAGCAAGGAGGACCATGTACGCCCAACTTCACTGCAGACGAGAGGCTGACACATGGGAAACAGATTCTGAAAGGCGGAGGCAGCTGGGTGGCCCGGCTCAGAAAGCGTCTTTCACTGTCTGCCCCACGCTCCCCTGCCTGGCCCATGGAGCCTGCGGTTCCCCATGCCCATCTCAAAGCCCATGTCCCAGAGGGCAAGACCCAGAGGGGTGTGCAGTACCCTCTCCCATCTTCCGAATTCCGGCTCCCAGCAGTGAGAAGCCCGCCTGCCCAGAGGATCCCCACCGGACATGGATGTGCCTTTTGGGGAGACCCTCGTCATCTCCCCTTCCCTTCGGTCCAAAATGCCAACCAGGTGCACATGTGACCCCCTGAACTTACTGGAGAGACGCACACAGTGGGAAGGGACATTTCATGCCTGAGTGATGTGGCTTTCACCCTAACACCCAAGGCTTCCGTTACCGCCTGAGTGTGTGGCATATGGAGGTGTCCAGGCACCAGCTGTGATTCAGATGCCCAGCAGAGACCCCCTGCCCTCAGATCTCTCCTTGGCCAGCCTGCCGTGATGCCCGAATTTCCCACCACCATTTGTCACCCTTCTGCACGAAGGCCCGGTCAGCATGTCCTTGTTCAATGCAAATTTGTTAGCTAGCTGGAGTAACACATTAGTCCGCCAACACCCATTCGTCATCGGCTGTCACATCAGTGGAGAGCAAGGCAACGAGGTAATGGGACACGGCACAGGTGAATTCTGATCAAGAAGGAGCAGGAAAAGCAGACCGTGCATCACTGCTGGTGAGAAATGGTTGAGAAGGCGGCCGGGAGGTGGGCTAGGCAGGCAGCGAAGGGGCTGGGGATGCGGTGGCGGGGGTCCTAGATGGGTGGACCAGGCTAAAGGCTTTCTCCTCTCCTAAACCCTGCCAGGGGTGGAAGGACCTCCAGGGTCATCCATGTGGCTTTACACATGGCCCTGGACTCTTCACAGCTTGGGGCTTCCTTGTCTTGTGCCTGGCCAGGCTGGTCCAGCAAGTGCTCTTCCTGCCTGAGCGAAGCCCTCAGATCCAGGCCCTGCTCTGGGAGGTGTGCCGGCCGGGGATGCTCACAGGTGCCTCTAATCCCTCTCTACAAAGGCAAACACCTCTACAGAGTTAGAAAGTGGAGGGAGGGCGGGGTGGGGGTGAAAGGGGTGTGGGTGTGTGAATGCTTTAGAGCTGGAAGGAACCTTAGCCAACCTTGGGTCACTCTCATTTCATGGTGGAGAAACCGAGGCCCGGGAGGCCCCCTGGCTTGCACGTGTCACCCACTGGTTAATGGAGGTTCTGAGACTAGAACCCAGGCCCACGGAGCGCGCCCCTGCTTCTGGGCGCGGTGGACCAGCCTCAGTGTCTCGGGCTGACTGTGAACTCAGCAAACCAAGGGGAGCTGCTACAGTTTCTGTCCAGGGAGGGCCAGCGGATGGGTGAGGGCTGTGAAGCGAAGTCATTGTGGGTGTGAAGGGGCCCGTGCAGAAGCCCACTGCGGCGGTAGAGGCAGCGGTAACGGCCAGAGCGAGGGCTCCGGCACCAGCGGGAAGGGGGATCTCCTCCCAGCGCCGACCTCCTCTGTGCTCTGCAGGAGCCGAAGCACCCCTCGGCACTCGGAGCTGGTGGCACCCGGGATGCTGGGCCCGGGGAAGTTGCGCGGTTGGAGAGAGGTTCAGGGACC